CGACGACGCAAATAAGTCGCTTAAGAACCGATCGCCTTTAAACATCCAACCGATCCCGAGACAAAACTTTTTTTTAACGTGATCATTTAATTAGCGAAACTCGTACACGTGTGCGTGTGTGTGTGTGTGTGCAATCATTCGCGTGTATGGCGCAACGAGTGACCAACGGCATTCCGTAGGACTCTACTTTCAATAAACCGAAATCTATGATCTAGCGTAAATCGACAGTGGTTTCGTGACAGACGTAGAGGGTGCAGCTGTTATGGCCTTATTATCTAATTAGAGGACACGTCCTCTGACACGTGTTTAATTATGTAACGAAGCTTCAGTTGTCTTTCATCACTTGACCCTCTCCGGATAAGAACAATTAGCACGCAGGCACGCATGCATCGACACGTGCATAAATGTGAACTTCGTGCCGAGGCACTTAATCTTGAAGAGGAAAAATTCTGTCCAAAGTAGATTCGTAGGAGGGAGATCCGTTGTTCCACGTATATTTCAAACAAGCTATGATTAATGATTAAACAACTCTGAATTTTTTTTTTAATTTTTACTGTAATTATCCCGATAATTCGATGACAATTTTATAGAAAACAGATGTAAGGAACTATATTCTGAAATTCTTTTTTATATGCAAAGTTGTGTTTGAAGCGGTGAAAAAGTATTGACGCGGCCTACATGTTTATTGAAGATAACGATTGTTCGTTATCGAGCTAATCGTTATCGTCTAATAATAATAATACATAATTTGTCATATATACTGATAAGCATGTATTCGATATTTTGATGATAAGAAACATGTGCGAGGAATCACGTGGATTTTTATCACGATGGTGGCGCATTGTTATCGTTCGCGGATATCCAAACAATGTGAGTTAATAAAAGTATAAAAATTTAACAATTCATTTTATGACGTTTATACAGAATGTCTTAAAGATCTTCGTCGGAAAAGGGGACTTTTTAAATAGGACTCAAAAAGTAGTGACTAAAAGACTAGAAGCACATTCAATTATTTTAAAATTAGCTGTTTCTAGTGTATTTTATGTTTCATATGTGCTTTTTAGATATTTTTTATTATTTTCTCGTTCTTTTCATTAAATCTGAACGAAAGGCTATTTTTCATTTTGATTCTTGTTTCAGGATACCTTAGTAAAATCCGTGCTCAAGCAGCAGCAGCAGCAGCAGCCATACGGTATAAATATACTGTTGGTTCCACCAGGTTCCACGCTTTTCTCGAGGGTATTCAACTACGTATCTTGTGTCTTAAGTTTCAAGAGATATGACTATCCAATGGTCACGGGGACGGTAAGTTTCACTTTCGTGAGCTGTCAGAGTCTCAGAAGAAGACCGAATAACCGTTGTTAAATTCGTTCTCGCTATGCCGTTAGGTCTTGAATGATGAAAAATTAAAAGACGCTATCAAGCTAACCGCGTGGGAGACGGCCAATAATGAGGGTTGCAGCGAGGAGAAAGCGCTCGCGAAGGCGAAAGCCAGGGCCAGGAACATATTGCTGCAAATGGAGAGCAGATGCAGCGACACCCTCCTCAAGATAGTCTCGTGGCTGGTGTACAAACTGTTGCCCTGTTTTTTACAATCCGCCGTCATGTTACCCACTCAAATAGAGCTGCTGAAGCAGGCGGATGATACCGGTCTACCGCTCGTGCTGCTGCCGCTCCACCGCAGCCATTTGGACTACATAATGATCAGCTTCCTTATGGTCGCAAATAATATAAGGAATCCATTGATCGCGGCGGGGGATAACTTGAGGATTCCATTTTTTGGGTAAGTCTAGAATCTAACATCGATCTTAGTCTAAGTTGTAGGATCTTAATTTTAGGATTTTAACATTTATGAGAATATTTTCAACAATACGTTCAATATCGGTTGGCAGATGGCTTCTGAGAGGTCTGGGTGCTTTCTTTATAAAACGTCGTATTGACCCAGAATCAGGACGCAAGGATCTTCTCTATCGCGCAACTCTTCAAACGTACATCATGGAGAGTCTTCGTGCCGGACATAACATGGAATTCTTCGTGGAAGGTGGCCGCACGAGAACCGGGAAACCTTGTATGCCGAAGAGTGGCATCCTGAGTGTTATCGTCGACGCGTACATGGACGGCACCATCGAGGACGCGTTTCTGATACCTATAGCGATCAATTACGAACGACTGGTGGACGGAAATTTCGTTAGGGAACAATTGGGACAGCCAAAGAAAATGGAGACTTTTACGTCGACGATCAAAGCCATGTGGTCAACGTTAATGGGTCGTTACGGTATCGTCAAAATCGATTTCTGTCAACCGTTTTCCCTCAGGGTAAGAGAGAAAGAGAGAGAGAAAGAGATAATTCTTTTCAAATAAGATTGATCCAATGTCATCATTGATGACATTGAGAACTGTTAATGTGGAGAGATAATTTTCAACAGGAAATGGTAAAGACGTTCCAAGCTCAGCAAAATAAATTAGCTCTAAGAAATCCATCGGAACGACCTTTAAAATACACTATGTCGAATTCGTCTCTTTACGGTACGGATGTAATCGTGGAAGAACAACGACAATTGGTGGACAGCATCGCCCGACACGTTGTATATGGTGAGTCGAGATGATAATTATTACTCGCTTTATCGACTCTACCATCTTATAAAACATGTTATTGACATAGATATATTTCTGTTGATTGCAATATGATATTCCTATAATCTCTCACGGAATTTATCTGAAGTCATCGTTTAATTGCTTTCAGATTCGTCTAAATCTATGCCGATTATGTCAACCAATGTTGTGGCATTTTTATTATTAAATAAGTTCCGAGATGGTTGTACATTAGACAAACTGGTCGAAACGTTTGACTCAATGAGACAAGAGTTGGAATTTGCTGACAATAACGTAGCGTTTTGCGGAGAGAGCGTTGACATCATTAAACACGCGGTTGGTAGACGATAAGCGAAACGATTTGGTTACAAGAAAAGACGGACAAATTTATTAATCGTCAAACTTGTAGCTGGATATCTTGGGACCGGGTTTGGTGACGCAACAGCGACAGGAAATCACCGAGGCTGTTAACGGCGATCAATCCTACAAATCGAACGTCGTCATAGCGATCCGTCCTGTGTCGATTCTACCGAATGTGATCGAGCTGTCGTATTACAGCAATACTATGTTGTTGTATTATGTTATGGATAGTATAGTAGGTAAGACACCAAACAATTAGGATCAGGGAGGGCGAGCCGCTTAATTTTGTAACGCAATCTTGTTGTATTTTCAGTAACTGCTTTGTATGCTGAATTGCAGTCCCAGCTCAATAATCCGATCGCGATCGCAGAGAACAATATTACGGTGTTACAAAACAGTATACTCGAGCGAGCACTTAAGTTGTGTGACATTCTTAGGTATGAGTTTATTTTCTGCCGGCCCTGCCAGGAACTGAGAGACATAGTTATTGAAACGATACAGAATCTTTCGCATAAGGGCATTATTACCCAGAAAGAGGTACGTCTGTTTTCATAGATAGTTGAATAATCTGTGGGTTATCATAATAACAAAAAAATGATTTAATAGCAAGTTTACCTGGAGGATGAACTCTGGAGCAAAAGATACGCGAGAAATTTTGATGATAGTTCGGACGAGGAGTACTCGAGAGAACGGGAAATCCAAAAGATTGAATATAAAGTAAATTTCTTTTCTTAAACATCGCTAATAACGTCTATGTACATACCAATCTTTAAATTACCACATATATATGTAAATGTGTTAAGGATAATCTGATGAGTTATATGTGTTTTTAAATTATTTTTAGTTGAGCTTAAAGCCAGAACATTCTAGTCGCATGGAATTTCTACATACAATGTTACGTCCGTTAATTGACACGTACACATGCAGTGCATTCAATTTGAGGAAGTTGGTCGACCGATCGCTCAGTGAACGAGAGTTAACTCAAGAAGTATTGAGTGAAATCAAAACCAAAGTAGACGGAGGCGTAGTTAGCTACGGTAAGTTATATAATGTATATTAAACTCAGCAATTCCGCTTAGATTTGGATATAATATAAAATATAATTATGTATTGATTGTAAAATTCTGTTGACTATATATATATATATATATATATATATATATATATAAAATTTTACGTTGCACAAAATTGCTTATAGTATAAAATAATATATGCAGCTTGAATCGCTAAATTAATGACTAAATGACTGAATGAAAGACTAAAATGTTGTTTTTATATTGAAATATTTTTAGGAGAGAGTTTATGCGTCGATCCGATAAAGAACTCCTTTAGGCTTTTCGAAAAATGGAATGTCCTGGAGTGCCACATGCAAGATAACGTTAAAATTTTGTACTTGAAAGAGGATTGCGATACGGCTGCGGCAACAAAAAATGTGTACGATACCATAGCACCTTTCAAGTGGGTCAGAAATATGGATTAAAACGTGATGATACCTCCTACTTTAGTCAAAAAGAGTCTTTGAATTACTATTTTTTATATCTTTTATAAAATCTCATTGATATACGTCCGGGTATCCGGCAATATTTTTTACGGACATCGTTCGTGGGTGTGTTAAGTACACAACTATAAATAGTATGTGTATTATAATACATATTTAAGTACGTACAGCCTGTACATAGCTTCTTTGAGTGAAGATAAAAATTTAAAAAATACGATATAGTATATCACTTGTGAATGTTTCTAAAAGCGCGATTCACATTCACAATGAAATACTTAAAAGTCCTGTTTTACGATGTAAAACTGTACAAATGCAAGATTAAACTATAGATCTAAGTTGGTTGTATCATAAAATATTTTTACGAATAAATAGACAATAGTACATATCACAGAAAGATGTTTGTAGTTATCTTGTTAATAAAAATAATTTTGTGTGCATATATTTTAATAGTCTTCTTAATTCAATTTAACATCTCGCTTAGTACCTCTTGCAATACAAACTTTTTAGTATCTCTATTAATATGTATATTGTATATGTATCCTGCATTATAAAATTTGTAAAGATTTTATGTATACACTCAGTATTTCACAGTCGACGAAATTGGGCAGCTCCTTCTGAGTCCCATACATTTCTCTCTATCAATGAATAATGCATCTACTTTAGACTGCAAATTACTTTCCAAATTAGATCTCGTACGTAAGAGTTGCTGATGTTGCGCCTCATACTGTTGCAGTTTCATATTCATATCATATACTATTTTATTAATATCTTCCACTTCTTTGATCACCCTGTAAAACGTGCAAATATTGTTGTCTGAATAGTGAATACGTAAATGATTCTAGCAAACCTGAGTTGGGCGTGATCTTTGCACAGTTCACTTTCTGGACGATGCGTCCTGGCTTCCAGCCGCGTGTGCGCAACTTTCAATGCCGAACTTTTATCAGCGATAGTTTTTTGCATTAATACCATGCTTTTCTCGATGTCGAAAATCTCTTCTTGAATCTAAAATATTCACATACGTAACATTGAATTTAGCACATAAGATTTTAGACAAGAAAGATCTAAAGATTGTTATGAAGATTTTACGATCTTTTCAGATATCTTTAGACGCTTTCTGGATTTTCATACTGTTAATAATGTTAATAAAAATGTACATTCCTCTATTTGCGAGCTTCCATCTCAGCTTTTACTTTACGTAAATGAAAATGTTTCTTACCTTATATAAATGCGTTTGTAGTTTTTCCTTCGCTTCCAACATTTCGTTGATTCGTCTGTCCAGCGCTTTATTGGTTTCAGTCCAAGCTTCGCATATCTCGCCTACCGCGTTTATGGCACTGTTAACGTCATTCCGTAATTTGCGCGACTTTGCTCGCTCTGTCTGTGATTTCTTCACTATACTGTTTGCCGCTTCCGCCCAAGATTCAGTTCCGATAACACTGTAAACGCAATTGTTATAGCTTCAGTCATGTGTCAGTCTGTAGAGAAACGTTTAAGTATATGAAGTGTATGAAGAACGGAATAACGTATCTTATTTAGTAAAGTGAAATACAAATATCAATTTATTTGAAAAAAATTTTATTTTTTTTAGTTTCCGTTCTCTTAAATTAAATACTACAAGAGAGATATATCTATAAATAAAAAATTTAATTACCTAGGATTATATCTTTCTATGCCACCGTAATATTGCAGGCCTCGACTAAAATTGTTCATCTGGTGACACACGCTGTCGATTCCTAGCGCTGTTTCTTTGTTCTGCACATCAATCTGCAGCTGATGTTGGGCAGCTCTACCGTTTGTTAACTGAAAGGCATCATAGGGCGAGTTCTTCAAGATCGACACTGCAATCGACAAGCCTACAACGTACCTGATTGGCACATTTATCCACGAACTGTTCCAATTTCTTCTCACAATTTCTCACCGTTTCGACTTCTTCCAGCAAAGCTCTCTCGACCTCATCGTGAACCAAATCAATACCTATTAATATTGACTGATTTAATTGAATCTCCCCTAAGTGATGCAGTTCTACAAGATTCTTCTATTCTTCTTTTTTATATTGATTGTTTATTTTCAATCTTGATACGTCATTGTATCTCTTACGATCTATTGTCAGAAAACGAAGAACCTTTTCTCGACTCCCGATGATAAAGACATTCTTGCGCGATATGTAATTGTCCCTCGTGATTTTGAATCGCAACTTGCAAGCCGCGACGACACTCCTGCATTTTACCGTTTTCTACGATTAATCTCTCCAATTCCGACGCCACTTCGTTCCGCCAAAAAGTGATGTCCGTGATTCTTTCTCCGAGCTTTCGGCCGCTCTCTATTTGTCCCTCCTGTACCTTTTCGTCGGCTTCTCTAAGGTAGATGTTACAGCAACGATATATTTCGGGAAATACCCTCAAATCACATATATGTAATTTATTAAGGAATAATTTTCAAGTCCTACCGCACGCAACATGCAGTGCTCTTGCGCAATTTTTCGGAATAGCTCCTATTCGCATTCGCTTCATTGTAGAGCTTGATTTGGTCCTGTACCCAGTCACATGGTGTATACCGCGTATAAAGCGCGGCACGTGCCGCGTGCGAAGGATTGCGATCGAAACCGGTCACCAAGTTCGGGAACTTGAGCGGCTCCGTCGCCAATCCATGCGACGTGCGACAAGCATCCACCAGCAGATTCGTTACGGGTTGCGCAGGCCTAAATAAAGATGAATTCGAATAAAAGAAATATGTTTTAAAACAGTACGAGGAGTATATACAATAATTTCTTATTTATACATATAACATATATTTTATTATTTATTAAAATATATATTTGAAAAATATTTTCTTACAATTTATGAAGAGCATGTGTAATCTCTTGAAAATAATTTTTATCTTTTGTACACTAAAAATAGCGTGACACCTTTAAATTGCGGCTTGTGCTTTCGAACATTGGAAATATATTAGTCACTCACAAGGGAGCTGCTTCTACGATCTCGTATCCCAAAGTAGGACGCCAAGGATGTGGTCTTGGGGTCTTATAGAATTCTCCGACTCTGGCTGGAATCGGAGGGCCAGCGACCTGCTCCATGCACGGCAAAACGCCGACTGTGCTCCATGGCTGCAGTTGCTAAATACAATAATAAATATACATGAATAATAACACAAACGAAAATAAATGTATATGGTATAAAGGGAAGGTCCTAAATTCGTTTCTCAATCGTTTGTGCGTGCTATCAAATAAAATGCAAACAGTTTATCTTTTTTTAGCTCTTCGTATACATCTGACCAATATAAGATTGACAGAATTGTTTAAACTGGATTATCATGCAAAATATTTAATAACAACAATATTTACGGAGTACATGACGGTCTTTTTCTCGGTTTTTACATTAGCCATCGCTTACGATAAATTTCGTAAATTTCTTTCCACGTCCAGAGCAAATATAATAATACAGGCGCAATTCAGCGCAATTTCGAAGGCGCGACTGTCCTGAAGTCTGAAGTAAGAATACTCTCCCTCACTCCCTCTCTCTCTCGACGTCTCTCGTTCGAGAAATAGATAAGATAATTCCATTAATCGCGATTTTTCTCACGAAACAGCAAAGACGATCCGTACGTAAAGAAATTATACAATCGTGAAAAGGCGGGGCGCTTTTTCGAAATCCGGAAGTGCATCGGCCACGTGACGCGTCACAGGCGGTCTGCGGTCACGAGGTGGTAGTGGTCAGGTGCTTCGCGGAGTGCCTTCTGCTCTCAGTGTCTCAGTCACCGAGTCACCGTGTCTCACCGTTTAGCGCACGGTTCAGCGTGAGTTCGCGTTCGTTCGACCTGGCCTCAACTCCGACCTCCGGGATGACGGGAAAGCCGAGCGGCGGCCTGGTCCGCGCAGCGCCGTTCCTCGCGCTGTTCGCCGTCGTCGTCTGTCACTTGGACTCGGTCCGCGCCTGCACGCCCGCCGTGATCTGGTGTCCGCACGAGGACTACGAGAGTATCTTACAGAAGTATAGCTTGTGGGGGGCCTACCGAGTGGTGTTGTCGAACCCGCTGCACAAGCTGAATTCCGAATATTTCCTGGGTGGCCTAGTCGAGCTCAACGTCACCGAGCCGGCGATCATCGCCGAGGAGCTGTGCGTCGAGGATCTGCGGAACAGCAAGGTTAGTCGTCCCCTGCTGGTCTCCCTCCTGGTTATTCGTCTACCTCTGTAAAAAGGATGCTTTATTCGGAGCTTCGGGGGTAGGAACAGGGGAAAAGAGGGGGAAAGAACCCCGAGAAAAGGAGGATCTCGACAAGCAGATTGCACCTGGTTCACGTTATGATATTGTCACAAAGTTTAAATGTGTTACCTCATTTCTTACACTCCTTTCTGACTGGTTTCTGGATGTACAGTTCCAATTTGAAAGTAGAAGGTACACAAGAAGAAAGTGTACCTAAGACAAATAGATCTTGCGTGGAACATTTAATGTGCTAGGACCGTTTTAGCTTGTTCCATTATGATCTACAAATGTATTTTCCATCCTACAAGCGTATGTCCCTGTGTGCTGTATTAATTGCAATAATTATAATTAAGAACGTAGAACACAGTTATATCGATTACTTCTTTCCAGAGATTATAAGACGAAATTGTTATGAATATTACAACTATTGCAGGTGCTGTCGAACGCCGTCAACGGTTCAAAGATCATTTATTTCCCATGTGTCATCACGCCGGACGTAGTTTACCGGAAGATTTACCGGATTTACGAGATAAAAACGATAGAAGATATGAACGATGATCACGAGCTCAACATGGCCCTGAAGGACATCGATTCGAATTCGTGCATAGCGATTACGGGAAAGCAGTGCCGTTACAGCTACGCCGAACGGATAAAGAGAGAAGCGGTTGCGGACAATTCTACGGAGTTCAAGATAAAAACAGACAGAATTATTCTGTATTCCGCTAAGCCACTGTTGTTCAGGGTAAACAACATTGTTCAATCTAACGTTAATACTGCGCAAGAAATCTTCAAGCAAATTTCATAAAGCTTCGAGCCTTTTTCATGATACTTGTATATTAAGCGATAAATGGGGAAAAACTTGCGAAAAGCGCGAACATCTTCGATATCGATCAATTAGACAAATAGAAATTAAAGGTAATTGAAGGTACAATTAAAGTATCTTGTTGCAGGCATCTGACAAGTCGGAGCATGTGGAACTTGTTCAATCCAAAGTCTCCGGAGCATCAAGTCGGAGCACCAAGGATGAGAAAACTGTGATCTTGGCCATCAAGTTCGCCGGTGTCGAGAACATCGGCGATATGACACTTGAGTTCTTCTTCCAGATCAAAAGCGTCGGCTACTACACGCTGAACAGAGTGAATTACGAGACGAGCAACAATGGAGAACTGTTTACCAGGCGGGACATTTCCTTCCCGTTCAATTTCTCTTATCATTGCACGCCGAAAACTGTATTCTCCGGAAACGGCTCCGCGTACTTGAGCATCTCGGATATGCAAGTACAAGTCGATCCCAAGAACGTGACGTTCAGTGATGCGTACGACTGCGTCGGTTTTACCAGTATACCGATTTGGACGGGAATATTCGTTACGGCGATACTGGGCATGATTATGATATGGGCGCTGACTATGATCATGGATATCCGTACGATGGACAGATTCGACGATCCTAAGGGGAAAACTATTACGATCTCCAGCGCGGAATAGAATAATAATGGAAACTTATAATGCAATTATAGGTATTGAGTACTCGTGCGAAACTTTATCACAATTATCGTGTCGATTGTTCAAGATAACGATTATCGTCTTGAACATTTAATTCCCCGATTTGAGTGTCACACGTTTTCACAGAAACCGAGAGAGTATTTAGTAGTAATGATAATACTAGTCTCATTACGAAGAACTTTCGCTCGATGTATAAATATATCATTCCTTTGTATAATATTATCTTACTTTCGATATTTATATATTGTTCGCTATTGTACGTTTGCTGTTTGTATGATATAATGGTTATGAACTTCTTATGTTAGTCCTTATGCGTATGGAAAGTTCTAAAATCCTTCGAGTGAGTGAAAATAGCACAATATACATATATCATATTAAAGATATAAACGGAAAGTGTTCTTTGAAACAGGAATATCATAAGCAGTAGAAAAATAAATTAGCCATGTAAACTCACGGTGCAACCGAGACAGCTGCGTTATTGCCCGTTATAGCGCAATGTAATGTTTTATTATTTCAAAAAACGATAGTAAAAAAAGGCGGATTGTGAACCGAGAACCGTCACACGGTAGGCGAATAATTTCTACTGGATAAACGCCTTCTATATGCCTGTACAAGCTTCCTTGTTGATAAGAGTTTGTAAAAAATATGTAACATAAGCTATATAATATAAATGTTTAATATAATGTATAAGACATACAATATAAACGTCCTGTAAAATTGATTTGTTGCTTTCTTTATTCATGTCGCACACGCAGGAACATCAATACCGTGAATTATCATGAACACCATAGAATGTGGTGGTAAAAACACGGGATTTATAGGATCCAATATCAAAGGTCGAAACGGCGGCAAATCTCCGTTCGGTTGCAGCCTTAGCGCTTCAGCTTCGCCATTCAACTTTATCTCGCTGCAAAACGAATGTAACTCAAATTTGCCATTCAATCAGCTTAATATCCGTTATAAAGTTTCATTTGATCACTATTTTATACGTACCTCGATTGCAAATGATCGGCGGTCAGAGCGTAATAGAAAATCTTTACGGTTTTACTGGGTTGTATAAACAACTCTGGAATATCCACGTAGGCGGCGATCTTGGCTATATTCATTCCATAGAGCGTGACAGCCGGCACTCGGGCGATCAGCGCTTTCTTCGGCGTGCAATGCGCGTACAATCGTACGTAGCCGAAATTATTGGGCGTGACCAATCGCAGGACCCTCTCCGACACGAATTGCTTGTAAAAGACACTGATCCACCAGTCGGGGTTTGGCGTGAGATCCGGCGATACCATAGCGTAATCCCCGCCGAATAACGATTGTCTCGTGACGACGTTTAATCCCGCCCTAGCGCTGTACCCCAATTTGTCCAACCATAGAAATCCGGCTACGAATCTGTCGGACAATCCGGGCGCACCTCCGCCAAACGCAGTGCTGGTCTCCGCTATAAATTAGATCTTCTATTGAATGCAGCCTTTTGTGTTATGCAATAGTATATTCGCAATTGAAAAATCCATCCTAAAAAGATTGTGCGAGTGATGAATAATGTAAAAAAAAAAGATATATTTTAAAATCGGAAGATCTGCAGTTTTCAAGAGAAGTTATCACAAATTTAGAGACTTATATATGTATAATTTAATGCATGTAATTATAATAACATTATGATTTAGAGAAATAATTTCTCAAGAGTGAAACTGAAGGCAGAAAAGTGATACTTGCAAATGAATTCAATATCTTAACGTTAAGTCTCACGACGTAAGATACATACATAGCCACGTAGGAACGTCTTTTCCTGACTCGACAATGTATTGTCTCAGGGAATTAATTTCCGCTGGTAATGAGTTGAACGTGAGAGGATTCACGAAATCATTGACCTTAGCTTCTCGTCCATTCAGATAATACTGATGCCAAGTGACGTAATTCACGGTGTTCTTCTGGCTACTCAAAAACGTTTTGGCATAATACTCTCCCACGCCATCTCCGACGTGATTCACTTCTGGTCCAACGAGGATGCTGTCGACGTATCCTGCTACGTTTAGCAATTCCCTTAAATGATCGTAATCCTTCGCGAGTTCGGTCGCAGGGATTGTCACGTTGAACACGTGTTTAAAGGAATTTGGTTCTGAAAATGTCAAAATAAGTATCAGAGGTTGTATGTGCGCGTACCATTCTGTATATCAATTATATGTGTGTACATATTTTGCGATAAATTAATATTTACACTGGTATTCTCATGTAATTAAAATTTTCTTCTTAACTTATTATTAATTTGACATTTATATATCAATCACATTTTACACACATATAATTGACTTTTCGCGTTTATAAAGTTGCCTACCGTTTCCCAATTGCCAATCTAGTAGCATTCCTTGAGTCTTAGCAAACGCGATAATCTCCTGCGTGTTACTGTCATCCCAGGACCCATCTGGATTTCTGAGCAACACATTCAGATCGAAGATCATTCGTAACTCGGACTTCACTGTAAAATCATAGATAGCGAGCAAATCCGCACCGGATATGGTAAAGTTGCTGATATCCTGACCATCTACGGGACTGAGGATCTTCTCAGAAGAGCTCTGTTCCATCTGAAATAGTCATGCGTGCATTAAAACAGCAAGATTGAAGCTTCAAGTGATTTTATAATTAAATGTCGTTCTATAATCTCAAAATAAGTAAAATAAGTGAATAAGTCTGTATCACAATTTGCAAGATCTTTTTGTGTTACTTATAAAGAATGTCACATTTAACAAACCAACCTGATCCTGAACAAATGTCAGACAATCCGCAGAGGTTCCACCCACTCTGACATAAGCCGGGCTTAAGTGACGGGCCAAATTGACAAATTTTTCCTGTCCGACGGGCAATTCATTCATTCTTCGAAGTAAAGATGTGTCGAGACCGAACGATAAGAACTTATCGGAGATGATGTGTAACAGAGGCTGCTGTCTGTCAAAATGGAACATATAGGAATGGATTGGAGGATGAATATTGGAGCTCCATAACGAAAAAATCAATAGCGTCGAGCATAGGCCCAATGCGGTGCAGCAGAGTATAGAGCGTACAGTTGGGCCTGCAATGGGAATAACATGTCAAAATTTATTAGCAATGAAAAAAGCATACTATGAGAAATAAAAAAAATAGTTACATGCAACATATGTATGGCTTTGAGATTATTTTAACATATTACAAAAAATTTTACAATTTTACACTTTTACTTTCACAACACAGCAAAGGAATTATGCAACAAAGCAGATTAAAAAAAAATACATTAATAAAGCAAGAAATGTACGTGAAATCAATAGATCTGTAAATGTAATAAATATAACTTTATAAAAATAATAAAAATAACAAATATGACTCTAAATACAATAAATATAAATCTATAATACAATCGATATCTCTGCAAATGTGATAAGTAGAACTATAAAATATTATGATGCACATGTGTGTTCAAACACGACCACGTGACGCGGAGTTTCCCGGTAAGCATGGCGGCAGGATGGTGGGATGGTCTCATTAGCGGCTTGCCATCGGCGACGTAACGCAAAGAAAGACAAAGACAGGATGCAATACGTCAACACGTGATAATTGATATAGCGTTTCAGACGAGGTGATTCATTCGCGAGCAAGAAAAGCGAAAAGGCACGTAACGAGTCGTAACGTTCGTCTAACATCTTCACAGAGATGCGTCCCAAGTCCGAACTTACCACCACGTACGCGCGAGTCGCTCAGATCCTGATACCGGCTCTTGCCCCAGTCGTTGTTCGCGAAGTAGCTCATCGTCGTCGAGGAGATTCCCACAGCCTGGCCGGACCGACGAAGTCGCGAATGTCAATCCGCACGCTCGCCGCTCTTTTTGCGCAATTGCGCATCCTCTGTGAACAATTGAATCCTCGAACCTCCACCAACCTCCGCTTGTTTCCGCCTCGTGCCGCGAGAGCGATCGAGGCGAGCGCGGGCGGAATGGCCGGGATGAAACCCATGCAAGCAGAGCAAAGAATCATAATGACTGCGTTTTGCCAAACCTCTGCTTAGCTAAGCGCAAAGTAGCAATTAAGTGTAATTGGTTGGATCCAATGATAAGAACCAATCACATTCAATTGCTACTTTGCGCTTAGCTAAGCAGAGGTTCGGCAAAACGCAAATATGAGATCAAAAGTGATGTCAAAATAGCGTTCAAGTGACTTTTATGTAATGAAAGTCATGATAACGTCATTAAAAGCTCTATGTTCTACCTGGAGTGAACAGACTGTTCTCCGCCTTATTTTCTCCGATGCAAATCAAGAAATAAATAGACGAATTGCAAAACAAAATAGATAATCGCGAATAACTAATTCGTAAACGAACACTTGCCGTTCGAATAAAAGAAAGAATATGAAGAAACAGAAAGTTCGTATTTAAAAATTAATTTCATGAATTAATGGCGCGGATTGAAAAGTTTCGATTATTTTGGCGAATAATTCGTATATTTTGAATAATTCGTTTATTCCGAATAATTCGGATAGTTTCTTCAAGACTAATCATATTATAATAGCGGTCTGAGATAAAATGTATACACGATTTACCTCTTCTATAAAGAAATTTTCTGATTATCCCAGTAACAAAATTACTGGGATATTGTTGATTTTACTTCTGTTTAGATTTTTTGCCACGTGATCTTTTTGCTTTCTTAACGTTCCGTGACTTGTTCGTTCGTTCACAATGATTTACATGCGCCAAGATCGCTTCACTTTTGAGACCTGAGCCAGAAGTGGATGCAGCCTGATGGTGTTCCGAAGAGACTACTGTGTTTAACGTACAAACCGTTTCCTCGATACTAGTAGACGATGCTTTTCCCGATTGTAATTTCTCTGTTTTAGGGTTCAACCAACGTCTTCGTGTTCTGCGAACTAGACACAGATAATTATACACATATATATATATATATATACACATTTAAAAAGAGTGTGTCCAGTAGTTTAACATTAAGTAATTGCGCGACGAATATGGAACGTACAATAAGGTGGAGAGGCGCGTTAAAGTTTACTTTTAGGCGAGGTCTCCGCGACCGAATCGGAGCTGGAATTCGAAGGACGGGGAATGCAGGAACGACTCCTGTTCGCGGCACGGTTCCTGTAAGAAACGCTATGCCGACGCTTCCTCTTCGCGGTTAATCTCTGCCGCGATGACTCCGAGCTGCTCAGCTCGTCCTCCGCCCAGAATTGCCGATCGGTATCGTCCGAGATCGGTGGAGCCGGAGCCGGTGGCTTTAAACATCACGAACAATCATTCTATGGCCCGCGCATAAAAAGGGTCGTGTACGCGCTATGTATTTGCTCTCTCTCGTTTTACGCTTCGCTCACAGCTTCCCCGTGGGTTTCCGAAGCGCGTCCTCCTCTCTTTTCTCCGACGTCGGAGGTACGATTTTCATAACCCTCTTCCTCGGAGCTGCACGTCATCTTCGCGTCCCCCCAAGCGCAATAGTAGCCCATCCTCCTATTTCGCATAGAAATCGCGCACCGCTGCAATTGTCACGTGCAAAATTTATCACATTTTACAAAATTATTGTTTCGACATACTGGCGAATTTTTACGGATAATCAATCGAGCAATTATAAGAGTTGTACGAGATGTGTAGTGTTTTTTTCTTGCAGGTACCGCAGATCGGATTTATCGCGATGCGAGATAATTCTTTTATGGTCCTGGTTTCGAGAAAACCGTTAATCCTTTGTTGAATTTTTGTTTATTATACACGTTTGCAGAAAACAAAACTGTACAATCGACACCTTTGAAACAGATTTACTCTTACCTCTATCTTTTTTTTTATCAATATAATTTCTTATTATATTTAAAGATAAAGAGAGTCAAAAACAGAAAAATTGAACTGAAAGAAGTGTCGCTTTGTAATGCTTAAATTTTACAGCTCACTATTTACAACTATCTCAGTTGTCACACACATAGTTGTATCGTAACTGACCTTACAAAATACGAGGGAGATCAATTAATTTTATACAATGATTATATCACAAATAAACTTTTCTCGTAAGCTTTGGGTACCGCTTAATCAATGTCTGAAAAATATCTCTGCCACATTTCACTCTTTCGCTCTCAATTGCTTTCACGCACGAGCGTATCTTTACAACTGTACAACTTGTTAACATGATCTAATCGTTCTCGGATTTTCTGCGTTTTTTCGAACGTGGACTGTCGGTATCGTGGGGACTCGGAGTGATGTGACTTCGTTTCCGTTTAAGGCTGCTCTCGATTGCCTCGCTGCTACTGCTTGCAGCAGTCCTGGTCTCTCTCCGAAACGTTCCTTCTCCCGTTGCTTGCACCAATATCTGACAAATAAATCACACGTTAGTGACGCTCGAAAATTTGAAATACATTCAAAAAAATACAATAAAATGCACACTGAAAGAGAATATGATACAAAAAATATTCTAGCCCGGCTTTAACGATTTTTTCACGAGTACTGTATTGCTTTCCTCTAATCAGTTTCCTAACGCATTTTTAAACAAGTATGTCACAGCAGCCGTTAGCAAAAAGTATAAATTACAGTTATGACTAATAAACAGAATATTTTCCTTACCTGCATATGTTGCAAGCACTCCTCTTGCATCGAGACTGCCATTTTATAGATAAACGTATCGTGTTTGTTGTACATAATCGCGTTCTGAAACATAACCATGACGTCCCTCTGAAAGTGCATGGTCGACCTAATCGTGCCGTTGTCGATGTTCTTTTTGATGGTCGACAGATCCATCGGTCGAAAGATCACCGAGTGATATCCAGGCGCCTGGTCCTCCGTGATCGGCCTGAGAAACACCGACGCGTACTTGTGCGTGGCCAGACGATTGTAGACGAGCATGACCGCTTTCTTCCAAGCACGGTAATCCGCGCCTTCTCCGGTGCTTTCGTTTTCCGGCTCGCTGTCTACGGCGACGTTCTGCTTCTTGGAATACGTCTTCATCGCCCGGCCGCTGTTCAGTTTGCTCAACGGGGACTCCTCTTCGTCCAATTCAGGCTCCTCCACGACCGTGGATTCCATCTCCTTCTTTATGTTCTGCTCGCCCTCCGCGTTCTTCTTGACATCCGTTTTCTCCCCTTTCTCCTCCTTCACCTCCACAGTCTCTTTCTTGTCCTCTGATAGACCGTGAAGCGGGCTCTTCCTGTGGAACGAACCAGTAACTTCCGGTGCCGTTTCAGTCTTTGGTTCTTCGGACTTGACTTCCGCACTCTCCGTTTGCTTGATACTCATTTCCGCGTCGGTTGTCGTCGCCTCGACTAGCTCAGTCTTGACACTTTTCGTCTCCTCTACGGTTACCACATGCTTAGTATCCTCGTTTCTATCGACCGATTCACTGCCGACCTCCTCCTCTTTGACCTCTGCATCCTGCAAGATGGAACTCGTAGTATCTTCCGAAGAGTCCTTGACCTCCTCCTTCTTAAACTCGTCAGTGTATATCTCCAATGTTTCCTCGTTCGCTCCTTCTGCCTGTGACTTTACCGAGGGCTCCTCTTTTATCTCCACGACAATCTTCTCTTTCACCAGGACCAATTCCTCCTTGAACGATTCCAAGGACTCAGTGCTTTCAGCCGTGTTCTCGATAACCTGCTCTTCCGCCACTGCTTTCTTCTTACTCCCCATACTTTGGCTGCTCTCCTCGTCCTCCAGGATCAAGCTGATATCCTGTGACTTTTCCGTGTCTTCAGTACCACTGGGTAGGTCGTTCGTCACCTCCGAAGAGACGCTGACAATCTCCGCGGACGGCACGTCCTGCTGATCCCCTGTAATTTTCGCCAGATATATTTCTAATTGATCTAATCCCACATTAGTTTTACCTTCAGTGTCTTCTAGAGGCTCCTTCTGCTCTTTAACGCTACCGGGCGACTCTTTGCCATCAGGCGCAGTCACTTCCGTTTCTTCTTCTTCCTCTTCATCTTCCTCTTCTACCTCCTCGTCCATGGTCTCGTCTATCGTTTCCTTCGTTTCGTCCGGAAGTTTAGAATTATTCTCCCCAGGCTCTACGTTCGACGAGGCGTCCACGGATTTTGCTTCAACGTCCTGTTGTTTCTCCTCCGTTGGAGCATCCTTACTTGTCTCTTCGTCATTGATTTTTACCTCCGAAACGAGTTTTTCTGTCAAAGTCGCCCTCTTATCACAAATACTCGTCTCGGACTTCGTCTCCGATGTGTTTGATACCGTCTCCGTGATCTCCGCGACGATAATTTTTGGTTCCTGTGGATCTATGGCGACGGTCCCAATAATCTCGGCAATATTCGAGGTACTGGAATCGATCTCCTCAATCGCCATCTCGCTCTGTGGCGAATCGGATAACGACACGGGTTCGTCCACATCCCTCGGCTGCGGCCTTGGTCCCGTTGCCGCTGTCGGCATTTCCGTCGCTTGTTGGGGTACACTCGTAAGACCGCCGATGACTGCCGTTGTCGTCGTCGTCGTCGTTGTCGAGCCACTTGTGTCCAACGTCTGCGGGCTGCCGGTTATCTCCTCCTTGATCAATTCTTCGATGTCGTCGATGATGTCGTTTATCTCGTCCTTATCTATCACGTCCGCCATTATGTCTTTCCGCATCACGTCTATGTGGTCAATTATCTGCACCATGTTCTCCGACACGGGTATATTTGCCGAAACGGCAGTCGCCGGAGCTGTCGCCGATATCGTCGTCGCTGTCGCCGCTTCGTTCTGAACAGCCACTTGCTGAACCTGGTCCTGCGATTGCACGGCTTGCTGGAAATTGCGCACCTCAGGGGTAGTGGCGGCCACGGTTGCGGTTGTCTGTTGTTGCTGCGCGTGGGACACGATCGCGTTGGACGATGTCGTTTGCAAATTCGGTAGAGGTCCTCTTTGCGTGCTCGCCGGCATTTCCAGCAGCATGGAAAGCGTGGGAGCGCCGACGGATGGCCGTTCCGGTGCCGCGTTCGCGCTGGCTATCGCCGTCGACACCAACTGCTGCAATTGCGGCGACACGTTCTGCGCCAGTTGCGCGTTTAACATCTTAGGGCTGGACCCAAGTAGGCTGGTGATGGTTGGCGAGCTCACTTGAACGGGAGTGGACGGAAAGGACTGCACGGTCTGAGTGGTCGGACTGGGAGATTTCAGGAGACTCGTCAGCAACGGAGACCTGCCGCCCCTGTTACTTTTCTTCTCCTCGTCATTCTCCGCCGGCAATTCCGTCGCCCCAGATTCCTGCGCCACCTCCGTCACACCTTCCGTGTGTTTGCGATTCACGATCGAAGTCGAGACGGACGGTGAGCTCATCTCTTGCTTCTGTTGCTGTTGACGTTTTGCCAGCCACGCTATGTGGGTTCGTGCCTTCTGCTCCGACTCACGTTCCTCCTGTTGTATATCGAGCCACATCTTCTCCAGCTTCTCGTCGCTTATCGCGCCGGACTTGAGGTGGTTTATATCCGCCTTGAGTCGCAAATACTCTTCTTTCTGACGGGTCAGATTTTGGCTCAGCTCGCCTATTCTCTCCTGCGTCAATTTTCTGACTATGGACTCGCTGGTGGTCTCCCCGCTCTCCCGCTTCTTCCTCTTCGGCGTGTCGGCATTCTCCAGTAGACAAGCGTATTGCATGGCGCATGACTTTTGAGAGAACCAGTCTGCAGGCCTTACCGGTTCCTTTTCAACAAATGGCTTCAACGACCTGGACACACTCATCCAATTCTGATCTCCAGACTTCAGCACGCTTGACGCGAGACACAATTGTTCTCGGGTTGACCATGTGTCGCAGGTTGAGTTCGTACGTTTGACTTTCATTCCTGAAATTTATTTTCTTAATTAGATTACTATGTAACTATTGTAACTACTACGTAACTACCTTTCATATGGCAGGAAATACCACATAAAAATGTTATAAAATTGATTAAATAAACTTAATTTTAATCATCAACTTCGTAAAAGTTTTGTCATAAGACAAAAATTACTAGTATTGATATATTAAATCTATTTTAGTTACATTTTCTTTCCTTCTTTTACTTCACTATTTTCTTTCCTTTCCTCTTAAAATTAACTTTTAAATATACATGTTAATTAAACATTAAAAGAGCAGAGTATAAGATTTTTTATTTACGTTAATATTCTTTGTTTGCCCGGTTTATAGGTTAGAAAAACCTTATTAACTCGTGCCAAGTGTCTGTCAAAGTATCCTGTTCCTTTTAAAAGCTAAAAATAACGTATTATCCGTGAGTGACAAATATATAATAAAATTACGTAAAAGTTGGTTTAAAACCAAAATATTGATTGGAATACTCAATACACAATTGTCTTAACCTATAAGTCAAGCTTTTTTCGTCAAAAACGCGTCGAAAAATTTCGAAAGCCGAACTTACTGTCTTGCATGGATGTCATTATGCCTTTTTCCGAGAGATTCCAGATTCACTGTAATTCACGAGGTACGTGCGACGCAGCTTCAATTTACGATTAATCCGTCGCCGCACTTTGCCACGCGATTGTTCAAAAAATAATCGAAAACAAGTTTAGTTCCACTTCCACAATCCACTGCCACTGCCTGCAACAGACCCGCCGTCGCGGAACGCGGAACGGACGGACAGCTGATCGCGATATTCGTGATTCGAACTCGCGCGACGGAACGCCGGAACGTCGTGACGGCGTGACGGGAGAACAGCGTAATGGCGGAACGAGCGAGGGCTACCGAAGTATGCGTCGACCCAGGTTGCGCCTCATCGCCGTGAGTTGAGACGACCGCGACGCGTAAAAACGAGCGAGCGAGTCACGCGCCACGCGTGAGGATCCGTCACCGAGGACGCTGATCGTTTGTGATATTCGCCGAGTCCCCCGCCGCGGCACGATGATGAATAATCGCAGGCGGAGCAACAACTTCACGTACGTCAGCTCGTGCGTGAAGTACATGATCTTCATGCTGAATTTCGTCTTTTGGGTAAGCGAAACTCCGTCCGTGGACTCGTCTTTCCGCGTTCCTCGCGTCGCGCTTGATCCACACCGCGTACTCTCGAATTCGCAATTTCCTCGCAGACGTATATTGAGATGACACATTTGTGTCACTTTCGAATCTCCAATTGTTTGCTTAGCTGAAATCTCCATGCGTCTTTACGTGGATTAGATAAAATGGAACGAGAGTTAAAGATAATCAATAAGTTAGTTTTCCATTGCTAAACGAGCTACATTAGTTCAAGAATTGTACATACCCTAAAATGTGAGAATCTGATGTCGGTTTCTCATACTTCAATGTATATGTACACCTCTCGAACTAGTCCAGCAAGTGCGGCAACAGAAAACAAACCTGATGTAAAAACGGCGATGATTGTATTCAAATGGTTTTTCTTTATGCCCAGCTGTTTGGCGGACTGCTAATCGGCGTAGGTCTCTATGCGTTCGTGGACAAATGGCAGGCGACTGGATCTGTCAGGGTGGAGAACGTCTACGACGTGGTCCTGAATATCTCCCTGGTGATGCTGATAGCCGGCGGAGTAGTCTTCGTCGTTAGTTTTGCGGGATGCGTCGGAGCCCTTCGCGAAAACACATGCCTTCTTAAATTCGTTAGTATTCTGTATACAAGAATGTTCCTTCAAGCCGCGCGAAACACACGCGATTGACCAACCGAATAATTTTTTTTTCCAGTACTCGCTGTGTCTTCTGGTATTCTTCCTTTTGGAGATGGGTGTGGCGATCGTCGGTTTTGTGTTCCCGCACACGTTGCAATCCCTCTTGGAAGAGTCCTTCACGGACAAAATAATTCAGACGTACAGAGAAGATCCGGATTTGCAGAATTTCATCGATTTTGGCCAGCAAGAAGTAAAGACCACCGATGAAATTATTAACAATGATGAAAAATACATTTCTCATGCTTGTACAAGTTATCCAATGTCGTATACTCAGTAAAATATTCGTAAAATTTTACGTTGCAGTTCAAGTGTTGTGGCCTGAGTCAAGAGGGATACCTAGATTGGGGGAAGAATGAATATTTCAATTGCACTAGCCCCAGTGTGGAACGTTGCGGTGTACCGTTTTCTTGTTGCATAAACGCTACTGATATATCCGTACGTACATTGTCACATTTATGTATGGAAAACCAAATATTAAAAGCTATTTGACACTGTACAAATAAAATAATTTCAACTTTCACAGAGCGGACTTGTAAATATAATGTGTGGCTACAAAGTCCAGATGTTACCAGTGTCGGAAGCAAGCAAGAAGGTGTGGACCAGCGGATGCATCGAGATCGTGCGTAGCTGGGCGGAACGTAATCTCTACACGATAGCTGGTATCGCTCTGGGCATCGCGCTCAGCCAGCTCTTTGTGATCTACCTCGCGAAAACGCTGGAGGGCCAGATCGAGCTGCAGAAGTCCCGCTGGCATTCCTGAGCTTGACTTCAGGCCACCTACCGTTATCAGATACATTCTGCAGCCAATAGGCAGGTGGCCAGCGGCGGCCGATCGCGCGGATCGCAGGACACAGAGACAAATATAAACGCGCGAATGGCACTCCTCGTTCTCTTTGCGATCTCTTTATATATACTGTGCATTTTGTCCCTCATCAAGCTCGTCCTTTATTTCAAGAATTACTTTCACCTGTACGTGAGTAAAGGATAATACGTCGCCGGCAGTCGACGAGCTGTCTTCGTACGCTAGAGGATACGTTCGCGATCGAAGGCATCGATAAAGATCTTGCATAAAGATTATATTACATACGTGGGTGCAGAAATGGTGTCCTGTGTGCGTTCACAATCAGCGGTAAAAGCTCTTTTTAATACTCAGGAAAGCATACCTTCTTGCTTACATAGTTAATTGCATGATTGAAATGCTTCGCGTTTGCATCGGCGAGTCACGTGTCATGCGATCATGCTCTTGTGAATGTTGCACGGGACACGATTAATGCATTCGGTTCCTGTACATGCGACTGGTAACTCGAAATGACAATTAAAGACAAAAGTGAGAGACATTTACCATGATAAATTCTGTAATAAGCATGTTACATTGCGCTACATCATAGCATTATAGAAAAATCGCTGAATTTGATGATTACATATAACATCTGTTTCTCGAGCGTTATTATTCTTCTATCGAGCCAATTTGTAATCTTTCAAATTTTTTTCATTTTCATCGCGATTTCAATATATGTACTTCATGCAATGTACTTTACGCAAAAGTAACTTGCTTAAATTAAAACATTCAGATCTGATGTCATCTTTCTAACGCGTAGTTTTACTGCAATGTATGAATTCTATAATTTGCAGCACAATGACACAAAGTTGTTTTAATGGTTAATATTAATGTACTATTAATAATATTAATAAGTGACATAGGAGCTTGTTTCATAAGACTTCAGATAACGATAACGTCGTGTGCACATTTTCGCATATGTTACTTCCATTGAGATATGTAAGTTAGAACATAATGAATTTGAGATTAGAGTATCATCTGTGTAATTGAATCTTCAGAAATCAATTTGCTCCATTAGCTAGGTGTAAAATCGTCGGATTATTTTGATTTCTTTTCCTACATTTAAATATTTTTAAGCATTAAACGCGTTCGATCATAGAGCAACATATATATAAGCAATTTTTGCTTATATACTTTTTCTTTTACAATTGATAATTACGAATGTATTGTTCTCCTATAAATAAGTGGATGTACGTGCACTGTTGAACTTACGATATTGATAATTATTAATGGTGATTCTCATTCACTCGTAGTGTATGCGATGCCATATCTGTATTATGAAATCATGAGCGCACATTTATTTGAATACAATATTATTAATTTATATTTCTCTGTTGCTATATTAGCATAACTCGTGTATATGAGACAAGAAACGTCCAGTGCCAAAGTCAGAATATCTCTTTTTTTTACAACAAATCTGACAATAATCTGGTATAAATGATTTGTTTAATGCATTTAGATGTCTCTTTGTCAAGAATAAATGTAAAACTGATATAAAACCTTCTAGTTTGTAATAAACAAGTATTATTCTAACAAAGCTGTGTTCTTTCGCCATTACCGATAAGTCAAATT